TGTGAAATGGGAACCAAAATAACATTAACACCGAATTGTAAAATGAAGTAACCCAAAGACATACATTTCACTGTGGGTATTCTCTCTGTGTTCACGCATTCTACATTCCAAAAAGTACAAGCATTTTCATTCATGCATTTGGCGATGGTCAGAGAAGGAAAGAAAGAGAGAGAGAGAGAGAGAGAGAACCAATGTATCGATGTCCGATGTATTGTTGGTTAATCGAGAACGACAGAACACCGAGAATAATAACAATGTTTTTTTTTGGTTGGAAATCAAAGTGAAAATGAACGTTGACGGTCGAAACGAGAACACATTTCAATTGAATTTCTCTCTCTTTCTTTTGGCGCGATAAGCATTGATTTGCTTACAAATGATTTGGGCCGCATTTGTTTCATTTTACATTTGCAATGCTTAGAATTACTTTCTAATATTTGCAAAGCAGCATTTACGTGCTAGCATTGTGTGGCATGAAAGGGATTTTTGATGGAACGATATGCCGAACAGTTTCGATAATGCTTGAATACAAAATGCGATTTTTAATAGGTCAAACAAATGCCACAGCGTCGGAATTCTCTCGGAGTATGTGTGTGTGGGCTAATCGATTTCCAAAGAGTTGGCTGCTTTTTTCTCTCCATAAATCAAATAAATAATGATGGATACTTTTGATATATTTTATGACTGCAACACTTCGGCAAAAGCCGCAGCACACGCCAAACTTGAGCAATTTAGCTTGGGTTGACTTTCGAAAGATTGCGTAAAGGAGAATCGATTTAGGAATTTGTTTGCAAAGTGCAACATATTGCATTGTATGCCGATGTGTACAAAGTTTTTCGATTGAAGGATGAGAGAAAGAGAATTGACATGAACATTGGGCAAAATCCTTCCGCTGCTGCAACAACACACACACACACACACGATCAAAATGCATTTCAAAATTCGGCGAACATCCGATGCAGAACAAAAATAATGCTGATGTTTCCATGTTAGTCGAAATGCCCAAGTTTTAAACAATTTGTTTTTGTGTTCATCAAGTCAAAACTCGCATCACCTTCAGAATGTGGCACACAATTCACACCGTTGCACGCCACGAGACTAGTGCCAATGTAGCACTTTTGTGCCGTAAGCTCACTTCAGGTGAATGTAGTTCTTTAATTAGCACTTTTATGCATTATGCAAATTCGTTCAAGCTTACACAAATATTCTCGAGCGTGTGCGCGTTTGAAAAGGGCCAATTTCGCGCTAATTTGCTTAACAAACACCAAAAATTTCGATCGATAAACACTTTGTAGTGACACCAGCAGAAAAAAAAGTCATGTTTTTTCTCCCATTTTGGTTGATTGAAAACCGACTATTGAACATTCTTTTAATTGGCCACATGCTAAGCTAGCATTGCTTACAACCAAATTGAATAAGAAAGTTCGCTTTTTTTTCATTCAGGTGTTGAAGTTTGCGTTACACATCTGATGACGTCGTTGATTTATCTAATGGTTGTGTTTGACACGCATGAACTTCATTTTTGGCAATTACACCAAAATTAATTAACTTGGAAAGGTCGTATGGTAAATTTTAATCAACGGCATTAATATACAAAAATATGCAGAACACGGCAAGTCGTTTTCTTTTAGCCATACATAGCGATATGAAAACGGCTTTTATTGTCTTCGGTCCATAAAAATCATCGAGCTCACATTTTTCTCCTATTTATTTGTTTTTATCAAATTAGTTGTTTCGTTTTTTGGGAAACATATTTAGTTCGTAATCTGAAATTACTGAAGTCTGTCTATTGCCGTACCAAAAATGTAAACAAAACAGAAAAATTTGCATGTTGAAAAGAAATTACAATGGGAAATGAGAGACAAAGAAGAAGACGATAATGATGATGCGCCGCAAAAACAAAAGCAATCAATTTGAAATTCAAAGTGCGGAATAAGCAGATCACCGAAGTGGACCAACAGCAGTAGCAGCCGCAGTCGAGACAACAGCAGCATCCACTGTTGTACGTTGTATCATAATTGGAACGAGTAGACTCGAATTCGGCGCAACAATTTTTCACACTTGCCCAATCGAGCGCACACATTCAGTGTGTATGACCGAAAAATATTCCGTTATTCGATTTTGGTTTTAGGCTTTCGCGCATATCTTGATTGAATTTTTCAAGAAACAATATTCATTTTTATATTTCAAACGGCTATAAAATTGATTGCTTTCGGTTTCGAATTATTGACTTTTCGATATCGTGCCAATGTGTGTTTGTGTGTGTGTGTGTACTTCGATTCAATTTGTTTTCTGCTTAATATTTTCCGCCGATAAAATCACCTTGAAAAATAATTAGGTGCTTTAATTCCGTGGATTAGGCCTGTAAAATCGTTGAGTAAACTCGTGATTTTTCGAACAAAGTTTTATGAGGTTGAAATTCCGACATTTTTACGTGTTTTTTTGTTGGATTTTTAATCCATAACTGATAAAATATGTTATGGTCTGTGAGGTCGTGTCATGCGAAAAATAAATCACAGTTCAGTATTTAATCAACGGCTTATGGTTAAGTTCACGAATTATGTTGCTTGTGTTAAGCAGATTTGGCTTCTGTTTGTTCGTAAATCGCGTTGAAAAATAACGAAAAAAAAATCCCATTAGCCCATCATGGTTTCTATGGAGAGTCTCCATGCGGTGAAATTATTTCGTACATTCAGAGTGCTTAAGTGGAAAAAACTAGGAACGCAAAGTGCGTTTAAGAGCATCAACTCAAGCGATTGACGTCGAATTGTTGTTTGTACAACAAAATGTGTCGTGTGACACTTGCTAGCCAAAATAACCGATCCGAAAGGTGTGCAGCCGTATCACACGCCACACGCTTATTAATTGAACTTATTCCATCGAAGACTACCATTTGGTCACCGCTTGCGAGCGTAACACATTCCAAAAGAAAAACTAAGTTACCAAGCTTCTCTCGATTATTATTATTTATTAATAAGCAAAAAAAACATAATTTTGAGAGTGAGCGCGCGCGCACAAAAAAAACGCTCAACAATAACTTAACATGGAATGGAATGCAGGTTCGCAGGTGTTGCGCATCCAATTCATGAATAATAACTGAACACACGATGATATAACAGTTATTGAAATGTGCAATCAGTATCGTATTTTTTTGTTGTTGTCTTCGACGTCGTCGTCGTTGTCTTAAGTTTCCTCAAAGTATTTTGTTCGCGTAGGCAACAAAATGAACGGCTTTTTTTGACTAATGGCACTATGTCACACAGACAGGAACAAACAAATTGTGAGTACACGCACCAATCAGCCCGATGTGCGCCATTTAAATTTGCGCTCATTTTTTCCGGCAAATTCATGAAAAATTAACATTTTTTGGAATGTATGCAATTTTTTGTGTGTTCTTTTCGTGAAATGCCTTTATTTCTCGGCTTGATAATGCACAAAGAAAAGAAACAGCGTTATTTGCGTGCACTTGTTGCGCACAATGCACAGCATTAGCCCCAATTTAAGGCATTCGTGAGCATAATGCAATTTTATTACATCGTACTTGCGACTTAAGCAGCCGAAAAATGTTTTTATGGCCCGTTGTTTTCTTTTTATTGCACACGAAAAACACATTGATCTCTATTTTGAATAAAATCCGCTGCATCATCGTCATCGTTCTCCGTGTTGCTGTTATCTCATTTCATCATTTGATGGTAATTTCGTGGATTTTTTTTCCCATTTCTCACACCATTTTCTATCTCACACAAGAAAATCACGATCGAATGCCAATTGAGTTTATTTGCCATAGGAAATGTGCCGTTGCTGCTGCTCATTTTACCGCATCGACAACCGTAACACATTCAACTCTCGCTCGCTTGCTATTCCATTCTGTCGGTGTGTTTTTTTCTGCTTCTTTTTGTATGCAAATCGAATAACGATAATCGAATGCATCAGCATGATAGCACAACAACCGATTGGGTGTCTATTTTTACGCACATTGAAACACACTCGCGAAATCAATTTTCATGTAACACGTATATCCAAGAATGAGTATGCCGTTAGATTCCCTACTGATCAGGGTCAGGGAGCTCTTTTGTCAATAATCAGATACAATCATCGTGACTCTTACGTACACACTCAATTAACGACTCGATGCGGTGTGAGTTTATTTCTCTTCATACACATCACACATAATGAAATTAAGGTGAAAGACCGAATTTTATGCAATTTGTTTTTTTTTCAACAAAATAACGGCATTCAAGTAATTTAATCAACATTTGAAATACACCTTCACACTTCTTGGTTTCGCAATCGAACTGTTTTCATTTTTGTGTAAAGAATAACACACCAAGTGCTCTCGAAATATTCCAACCGATTGATACATGGAATGTTTTTGTTGTTGTACTCTTTATCTCCAGATGTTTCTTCTTTCTACTTTGTGTGAGTGACAACGTGGCGAACTACACCAAGCATGAAAACATTAACTAATCATATTTAATTCTACATGACAACAAAAGAAAATTGATTGAATAAAAATGGCAATTCATTCTAATTAGTTCTTACATTTTATATTCAAAAGAATAGAATTCTAATTTTCTCTCACAATCTCCATTCAGTTGGTTCACATTCCAAACATTTTACTACGTATTGCCCAATGGTCGTCAATCTCAGATTCGAAACGTGCCGACGATATCAATGTGACGAAGTGACCGAGTGGTTAAGGTGGCAGACTGCTAATATTGTGATAACACAACGAGAGCAGCGATCTGTTGCGGTTTCCGCGCGCAGGTTCGAATCCTGCCTTCGTCGCTATATTTTTTTTTTATAAAACATCTACTCCGAAATGTCGCACAGCATCTTTGGGCGTACATTTGATTGAAGTATTATTTCAGAATATTATTTGAGAAAAAAAAATTTACTCATTTTTTGTTTGAATCTTTCAATTTGAGTCTCAAAATCTGCGATGCTGTTTGAGTTACCGATTGTAACATTTCCAAAGGGACGTATTATAAAAAAAAATATAGCGACGAAGGCAGGATTCGAACCTGCGCGCGGAAACCGCAACAGATCGCTGCTCTCGTTGTGTTATCACATTATTAGCAGTCTGCCACCTTAACCACTCGGTCACTTCGTCACATTGATATTGTTGGCTCGTCGTCAATTTGAACACAGATAAGCGACATTCTGGTGAATGTGTTCATTCAACACGGTAAATGTATGTTGTACAAATAATTGTGAACGCAATGACTGAACTACGCATTCTTTTCGAATATTTCTTTTCAAAAACTCAAAACAAAAACCAATATGTTTTGAGTCATATCCACATTCGAAAGTAGAATTTTTGTGAAAATTCAATCTGAATGTACAGTTTTTCGAGATCAATGTACTGCGTCACGTAGTTACCAAGACGAATGTGACGGTGAGGCAGAAACAGAGATTTGGTGATAAAGACAACAACAAAATCATAAGAACAAAACCAACATTTCACTTTTGAGAGGTTTTTTTCTTCTGTTCATTCGTGTTGATTCCATATTCTGACTGATTAAAATGAATTGATTTTGTGCGCGGTGATAAGATCGTACGAGGTTTTACGAATGAAGACATTTGCAATTAATTTATGAGTGATTGCATTGAATGTACTCTTTCACCTCTGCTGTCATTTCACAGTGTAAAATGAATGGAGTGTTGGTTTGGTTTCGAATACTTCGTTAAGTTTAATTGAAATACGCAGAAACAAAGAGCCAGTGGGGTATTGCGCAAAAAGTCTATATATTTCGTCTGAAATTGATAACAGTATATTTCTCAATTAGAAAGTACAATCAATAATCGGTAACAGCAATGATCAGATAACGACACTCGTTGGCCGAATGATAAAAATTGGTATCATATTTCACCTATTTCGGTATTCATTCCCCTTCGTTCAGTGCCAGTATGAAGATGATTCTCGCATTAAATCGATGAACAAACTGTTTCGATACGTTGGCTGCATTTCGAAGTGAATAAAGTGGTTTTCGATCGAAAGTTTATTGCACACACGTGAAAAGCGGTGTGTTCCAATTCTTTGTCGAATTATTCAAATGAGGCTCATCAAATAATTTACCGATTAATGTATAAGCATTGTGCCGGCTTGTGAACGACTTTGCCTGCTACTCGTCGTCGTCGTCGTCGTTGTCGGCGGTGGCAGAAATTTGATGCGCATCATTAGCTGGAGAAGCGTCTTTATTTGGTATGTGTGGCACAATAAATAATAATCACGTTGCATAGAAGAATATTTGTTGGCTTTCAATAGACCATGTAGTAGGCCTACCGCCGATCGATTCCGAAAATTAAGAAATCGATTTTGATTGATTCTCGAGTTTATGCAAATTAGATTGACAAATTAACCACAGTAATGACACACGCAAACGCATACATGCTATGCGAATGTGAATGAACTTAGAAACGACAAAACAAATTGTGTTATGCGATCACCGACCATATTCTGTTGGAAAACACGGAATGCAATAAAGCGAGACAAAGATTTTGGTTGTGTGTGCGAGCGCAGTGTGCCTTAATCTGGTATCGGCATACGTCCTACGATGATTTTTTTTCTCTCCCTCTCTTTGACTATACCAAACATAGTCACTTAATATCCGATTACATGGCATTACCTGTCAGCGTGTGTTTCATTACCACGCTCGCAAAGTGAATGCAACCAAACGAACCGAACAAAACAAAAAGTCACCAACACCAAAGCGATTAAACTGAATTGACAAAAGAAACCTGCGGAAAAGAATATCAAATCCAATAAAATCAAAAGAAAAGAAACGATAGAGCAGAAAAAAAAGTAGGCACTTTCAATTAACGTTGGCTGTTTGTGGACGTTTTTTATTTGTCTTTTTCACTGAATTGTGGAAAATGTATTGAAGCAATCACAAACGCCAACAGTCATACATACTCGCTGGCTTTAATTTTATTGATGTAATGCGAAGCAAATGAATTTTGCCATCAAAAACGCACGACCGAAAACGCTAGCCAACATTTTTTGCCATAAGTCATGTTTGAAGGTTGTGTGACACAAGCAGCAAAATGCCATGAAATTCAATCCAGAAACAAAAACACACAATTCGCACAAAACAAACATCAGTCGATTGTCGCGCAAACACACCGTATGGGCGCTCTCAAGCAAAATGCACAGCGAAAACGGAGGAGAGGAGAGAAAAAAATGAGACATTAAACTGTAATAAAAAAACCGTTTGAATTGAATTCATTGAAAGAAGTCGAACGACAAACCGCACCAAACAAAGTTGAATGTTTGGATAAATTAAATCAAATGGTGAACAGAAAGTCACGCTGCTTGCACTGGCAGCAGCAACGGCGGCAACCGTACCAAACAGTAAATAAATTCAATATGCGAATGAGTGTGACTGTCGCCTGAGTGTGTGCGCACGCCTGCCTGCCTGCGATCTCTTGATCATTGCGAATTTACGACGTGAAAATAGATATATTTGAGATAAAATTCAACGCCAGAATGAAAGAAATCGTTTTGCTTTAAGATGAATGGCATCCAACCCAGTGCAGAGTCGAGATTTTGCGTTGGCAAAGTGTGCTCGCGCGCGAACAAGCGACAAGTAGAAGTACATTCGTTTGGAAGTAGCTTACATGTGTAGTCGAGCGTTTGGGAATGATCTAAAGACATACATCGCGTGTGTAAGTCACACCAGTAAGCCAACTATTTCAATTATTTCGTTAGTGCATTCTTTGTGGCGCGCGGAAAATGTGCACATAGAATGCTGTTACTGAGAGTCAAATGAATGAATTTGAATGAGAAAAAAAAACAAAACACACACTCAAACATCTGACATTTGGCCAATTAAATATTTAACAAGCACCTAAGCTCTTTGTGCCGAAACAAAATTGGTTCGCAGCTAGTTTATCTTGTTTTTCTTATTCTCTTGCCCATAATTAATTGAACAATTGTACTAGTTGCGGTTGTGCAGTCACAATTTTTTCACATCCACATTCGACAGAACGTTTTCATATCGCGCGATCGACATCTCTGGTGCTACTGGAAATCAAAATTCACTTCTATTCGGGCAATCTGCTGTTGCGAGTCAAGAAATCGCATCGCTCGATTTCATTTTCGATTGCAATACCATACTTCTCGTTTAACATTGTGCACCAAATGCTTATTAAATTATTTCGCTTGAATTTTTTCTCTGTCTGTTGCATTGGCATACGTCAAGCTCACATTTTGAGTGAGTGCTCAAAGTGGTTGTCAAAAATGCGTTAAAATTTTAACACATCAACTTTGTAATTGAGCCGCTGAAGCCGGCAGCCATCGTTTTATTGAACTGTCATTGGTTTCGTAAGTAAGTTAATCGGTGAACTATGACGATTTGCTTACATTTATGATTCGTAACATCAGCGCATTTTGATTCGCATCGATGGGCCAAAATGTGTTTGGTTGCCACCACACTGAGCGTCCATAAAGATATATCGCATAGTTTTTTTTCTTTCCCATGAATGACGCGTGAATGGCATAGCCGCTTCGCGCTTGGCCACAACACCGAAACGTGATCGGGTACACCGAAATCCAAATGAAGGAAACAAATATGAATGAATTTATAGCGTTCCGTGACCATTTCAATGTTTCACTTTCGATTTCTTTTTATTACGTTTCCTTTTTTCCTCTTCTTTGGCTGCTGCTGCTGTTGCTCCGCGCGTACACGACTTTTTTTTTAACACCATGCCATTTAATTGTTATTATCAAATACAATTACGCGCTTGTAATTACGCGTAAATTATGAAATTTTTTAACCGAAACATTTGTTATTGTTTTGCTGTATATACGTTTCAACGGCCGCAGTCGTTTTCATTAGATATTCTTTACGTTTAATTGTATGATACCATTTTTGTGTGGAGAAATGTTGAGACGATGGAAGAAAAAAAATCGTGTTCGGCCTCATTCACATTAGGTAATGTCAGCTAAATTAAAGCAAAACATTTTCGAATGAACTAGTAGAAAAGTCTCAATCAACGATCGAAGCCAAAATACGACGTTGTGAACTCAACGTTCAATGAGAAATTTGGCGAAAGAAACCTTTTTAAACGGCTGAGATTTTTTTTGTTGCTTTTTTCTGTTTCAGCAGCTGTCACGATCTCGTTTGTATGAGAAACACACATCGACCGGTTAAATAGCAACATTTTATTTTTACTTTGTTGCGTTTTTTTTTCTCTTCTAGTCACTAATTTAATTTATTTTTATATACGTATATATAAAATAACAAGCATTCCCTTTCTATTTGCTCAATTAGTGACTGAAAGAATCTGATTTCGTAGTTATTTCAATTTTTTTTCGTTTCTCACAAAATGTGCTAGTTTACCACACACTGAATGCAGCTGGAAAAGAGAGAAGAAGTGAACCAAAAATTGATTAGTATGTTGCAAAGAAAGCTTCAAAGAATTTATTTTTGCCGTATTGTAATGCGATTAGCGAAGAAAGCATAAATTAAAGAAAAAAAGCGAACGAACAAAATACTGATCAAGCAAAGTGGTGGCTTGGGAACGAAATGACGAAAAACTACGAGAAAAGCCATAATTTATTATTGTTATTTATTCATGATAATTTGTTTGGTATGCTCATGGTTTTTACTTTTCAAGTGGATTATGTGCAATCGCAATGTGCTTGTTTTTCTCCCCGTAGTGAATTGTCCACCGCGAGCAATGTGTCAGGCGCGATTTGTGCACAACAACAGAAAACTCTCTGCCACAAACCAAAAACGCCAACCCGATGAGAACAATCATTATGCCGTCAAAATTAAAATTTATGAATGAAAACACCTATCGCGATTTGGCGAGCACACACAGAGAGAAAACGGTGTCTGTGTATGTGCTCAGTTTAATGGGTCATTTTGCATATTCCGTTGAATAACCAGAGAAGAAGGCGCATTCGACGCCTCATCGCGGGCTAGAGCAGATGGAAACCGATGCATGAACAACACAAATTTTTCCACAACATTTTGCATTATTATTCGTTCTCCGTTAATTTCACTTTTTATTTTCATGATTATGAACGATGATTTGGCTTCCAAATTTTCACTTCGGAATTCTCTTTCCGTTGCAATCGAAAGTAACGAGCAAATGGTAAATTAC